TTCGACGTCTATACTAAGAAATATAGTAAGAAGAAAGGTATTATATATACGTCTAACGAAGGCCTAGGATTGTTAAGAGAATATAGTAGATTTATTGTAGTAGATAGTATATATAGTACTAATAAGTCTCGATTTACTTTATTAAATATATATATCTAGGACTATAATAGCAAGAAACGGCTAGTAGCTTATATACTACTATAGTTACAATATATTATTTTACTCGCTACTAGCTTTAAAGCTCTGTCTTTCTAGGTAGAATATAGAAAGCCTGGCAGCTAGTGGCTTAAATACTATATTATCAATAACTCTATAAGTAATCAGAATGCCTTCAAACTAGTATTCGATCTAATTATCTAAGTATCGAAATACTACTATATTACTAGTATACCTTATAGACTATCCGGCGGAGATATAGCAAAAAACGAGGATATAGTACTATATAGACCGCGTTGCTAGTAGTATTATCGCTCGTACAAGAAATACCTTAGTTAAAACAATTCCTCGTAACGGCTTTATAGAGTCTTCTAGGCAGTACTAATAATCTACTATATAAATATATAGTACGCGAGTAGTCTATTGACTTTGCCCTTATATAGGCGACGTACTTCCAACGAGACAGTATAGTTAAGATAGGTATAAGTCTAAGGTACTCCGAGAATAAGTGTCTACTATAAACTTCCGTCTAGTTACGTACTCCGATAGAGACGAACTACAAACTACGTCGAGGCCTATTATTTAGAGTACAAACGCGGTAACGAGATAGTAATAAAGAGATAGAGCTTATCTAGGGCACTTAGTTACTTTATAGACACCGACTAAAGATAGTATAATAGAGCTAACGCAGTAGCCGATTAATAGTTACAGCTGCTACTTTACGTAACCTTAGATATAAGCGATTATACGATATCCTATACTTTATATAGGTAAAGGTAAAGGACTAGTATCGTATAGTAGAAGCTAATAAGTAACTCTTATTCTATCGAACCCTACTAGAGTTTAATGACTATTATAGAATCCACTTGCCCTCTAGTAAAGATATAGTATTAGACTTCTACTTCTTACTTATCCAAAAAGACTAGGGCTCGATAGTGCCGTTCTCTTCTAGAGTTTAGAAGATATACTTATTCTTCTCTATTATTACTTTCTAGAGTGTTATATGTATAGTATCTGAAATATCTTATAGAGAGTTGTAGAGGTTCTAGAAAGTTATATATCTTTTAAAGAGTCAAAATTAGGGCAGGGGGGAATCATATGCGGGGGTCAAGTTTACCTAAGGTATGCTAGATCTATCGCCGTTTCTATCGCTATATCTATCGCGCCGTATTTATTGCTATACCTAACGCTATATCTAGCGCCGTATAGATAGGGCGTCTATAATTCCTATTACTTCTAAAGCTCTCTCTACTTTGATATTCTCCTTCTACTTCTAATTATACTAGAGCTCCCTAGTCTCTACTATAGTTTAATCTTATAGTAGTTTTCTGTACGTTAGCTAATTTAGCCTTCTTGAGATCTAGGTATTCGTTATAGAATAGCGTAAGCTTTATAAAGAAGATTAGAGTGTTGTCACGTAATAATATTATCTATACCTTTAAGCCTTTGTATACCTCTTACCGCTAGAGAACGTATTAATACCGAAATAGCGTAGTTTGAATATCTTATTTTTTTTTTATATATACTTCTCTTTATTAACCTACTAGGCAGTCTATAGATAGCGTACTATCTTCTACTAGCGTTCAGGTATATTCTTTACGATAGTAGTAATACTAATAGGGTTTTTGATAGGCCGGGTAATAATATCTAGCTCTTCTACTAATTCTACATCTATTTAGATAGCTATAAATACAGCTGTATATATAGTATGAAAACATTCGTCGTTATCGCATTTAGGGATGTTATTCTATTCGTATATAGCTCGTTTGCTAAGGGCTATATAGGCATCGTTATATAGCTCGTCGGGTAATATATATCGGTATATCCGGTATAGAGTAGGGAACTGGGTCATTATAAACGTCGGGTCAATAAATTTTAAACGTCGGGCCCAAAGTTTGCCTTAGGCCGCATTATGTACCTAAGGCAGAATATTCGTATATTACCTGCTTCTACAACAAGAGCGACAAGACAAGACGAGACGAGAGCGACGAGACAAGACGAGACGAGAGCGACAAGAGAGGAGAGCGACAAGACGAGAGCGACGAGACAAGACGAGACGAGCGCAAGGAGACAAGACAAGACGAGACGAGCGTAACGAGACAAGACGAGACGAGCGCGACGAGACGAGACCGACGAGACGAGCGCGACGAGACAAGACGAGACCGACGAGACCCGACGAGACCAACGCGACGAGACGAGACCGACGAGTCGAGACCGACGAGACCGACGAGATATAACGAGACTGACGAGATACGACGAGACCGACGAGATACGACGAGAGCGACGAGACGCGACGCGACGTAACGCAACGCAACGAGAGCGACGAGAGCGACGAGAGGAACAAGATTAACGAGAGGAACAAGAGTAACGAGAGGAACGAGACGCGAAATACCTACCTAGAAAGGAGAGAGAGAGAGAGAGAGATAGAATACCTAAGAGAAATAGTTTGAGATATCTTCTACCTAAGGCATATTATGCCTAAGGCAAACTTTAGGCCCGACGTTTAAAATTTATTGGCCCGACGTTTATAAAGGCCCAGAGAACTCCTATATAAGCTTGCTTAGTATATATCTATTAGTCTTTTTATTCTTCTCTTAACCGAATGTTTTAGCTATACAGGCTCTTACTACTATATATATATACTTTTTAGTAGTACTAGAAGCTAGAAATACCTTCGAAAGCTCGTTTATAGCTACCTTATCTCGATTATAAAACAAATATCTTAGTATTATTGATCTAGTATTCGTCGAAGATTGAAAATGTCTAAATATAGCCCTTATAGGTCTCGTCCGGTATAAGTATATACGCAAGCGGAAGAACGGTTCTAATGAAGTTGAAGTAGAGTAGTAGTAGCCCTAATTTAATAATATTATAATTAGAGTCGTAGATAAGTACCTTAGTATTAATCTTGTATATTCAAATAAGCTCTAAGTATACAGAAACAAAATTCGAGCGGTCGAGCTATTTTCTATAGTTATAAGCTTATAGCGAATCTTAGCAAACTTATTATAGATATTACAAAGAACTAGTACTATAGCTATACTAGAAAAGCCTACTTTAGTAACAGACTCTATCTTTAGTCTTATAGTATATCCGAAGGAATTCGTAAAAGCGCTTCTTACGATATTAGCAACAATAGAATAGTAGCCCTATAGGATCTATACTAATATAGTTGTACTTCTCTATATTTCCAAGGTAGAATAACTACTTACTCTTAGTATTATCCTTATTAATAGCCAAAACCTACGCTATAGTACGATAGCTATTCTACTATATATACTCGTTTGTTTAGGCGATTGCCTCTAGTATAATTTATTATATATAATACTTCCTTACCTTATCTATACTACTAAAGTGTTTCCGGCCCCTATTCTTCATCTAAACAATACTATAATAACTACTATAAGCAACGAGGTATATATAAGCCGAAGGCTTATACTAGTAGAGAGGCTAAGGAATCTTATAGCGTAGACTATATACAGTATCCTCGTCATTAGTAATTACGTCGCTAGTATTATCGTCGCTAGAATCGTCGCTAGAATCGTCGCTAGAATCGTCGCTAGAATCGTCGCTAGAATCGTCGCTAGAATCGTCGCTAGAATCGTCGTTAGCGTTTTCGTTAGCGTTGTCGTTAGCGTCGCCGTTGTTAGCGTTATCGTTCTTAGCACTGTTTTCCGGCGTCGCTTTATGTTAAAGATTATAAGCTATTGATTGATTTAGTATCTAACGCACCTACCCGTGCCTTATATCTTTGTGCTTAAGCGACATCGGTTACAACCCTGACCATAATACTATTACTAACACTCCTACTTAACCGATAGTCGGTTACTTTCCGTAACGCCTTAATAACTCCTTAAAATAATCCTAGGACCCCTCTTAAAAAACCTCTGCCTTTATAGTAGGAAAAGAGTAGCCTCTGTTAATATATCCTAAAAATGCTCTAACTAGATTACTATTAACTCTATTCTCCTTTAACTTCTTTGCCCTTCCCCTATAAAGCCTAACAATCCCTATTCTAGATACGTATTGTTCGAAGGCCGTTTGATTCAGTACCTTAGTAAAAGTATCCGCCGTATTAAATAGTCCAGGTATATATAAGATCGTAATTGTCTTGTCTTTAACTAGTTGTCGTATAAAATGAAATTGTACTCGAATATACTTAGTTTTCTTATATATTTTAGGGTTATTCGAAATCCTGATAGCTACTTAATTATCGACTAGGATAATAATAGTTTCTTGTAGTAATCCGACGAGTTCTAGCATCTCCTTTAACTAGATAGCCTCCTTTCCTATATAATAAAGGGCAGTATATTCGGCTTCGGCCGTTAAGAGCGTAACGGTAGTTTGTTTCTTATATCTCTAGCTTACGGCTATACCTCTAATAGTAAAGATATAGTCGCTAATTGACCTGCTGTCTAAGCGATCCCCGGCGTTCTTAGCATCCATCGGTAAAACCTATTAGTTTACTCTTTAATTCTCCGTTAAATTCGAGTCTAGTATCTAGAGTTCTAAGTACGTATCATAGTATCCGCTTAATTTGTTCTTAGTATTTAGGTAAGGGATTTGAACAATATCGACTAGCTGTTAAGACCGAGAAGACTAGATCCGGTCGAGTACCGAGTATAGTGTATATTAGTAACCCTACTATTAACTGGTACTCTAGTCGCTACTTCGGGGTAGCCGTAAATTCCGGAGGTATAGGTTCCTATCGTTTGTTAGTAATGTAAGGAGTAGTGACTAGGTTAGATTAATAATCCGAACTTATTAATTATAGCCTTAAGATAAGCTATCTGAGTTAGTCTAATCTTACCCTCCTTCCTTTTAACTACAATACCTAGAAAATACTAGTATTTACCTATATCCTTTACTTTAAAGCGTTGTTTAAGTAATTGCTTAACGTCTTCAATTAACTCGAGATCTAGCCTAGTAATAAGCAGGTTATTGACGTAAACTAAGATAAACATTAAACCTTTCTTAAACACTGCGTTATTATATAGATAATAGGTAAAGCCGAGTTCCTTAAGAGCATTTATAAGAGTCTTATACTAGATTCGTAGTACTTGTTTTAACCTGTAGAGTACTTTATTTAACTTATAGACCTTTCCTATCTTCTTAAACCCTAGTAGAAGTTTAATATAAATCTCTAAGTCGATATCTCTATAGAGAAATACAGTTTTGACATCTATTTAATAAATATACTAGTTGTTCTTCGTCGCGAGTCTAAATATAAGTTGATAGCTTATTAGCTTTACTACGGCTGTAAAGGTCTCGTTAAAGTTTATCCCTTCCTATTACTCGAACCCTACGAACAACCTATCGTACCTTAAAGCGAGTGATTTCCCTACGAGACCCTCTCTTTATAGTAAAGACCTAACGGCTAGAAAGGGTAGGTATTCGTATTATTGATTCGTCTATCTTATTCTAGGTTATATTATCCTATAGGGAACTATATTCTTCTTTAATAGCTTTAATCTATTGCTTGCTATAAGGGCAGGAGATTGCTTCGTCGTAGGTCTTTAGTACGATAGGGTCGATTTCTACTAGCTATATTGTCGTAAGTTCCTTATTGTCTAAGGGTTCCTAAGTAGTTAGAATTCGTATATTGTCTTTAATTTCAAACTCTAGTATCGGTTCTAAGGCGTACTTCTTAAGGGACGTATTAAATACTAAGATTTGATCCGATTAATTAATATATATAAACGATAGTACAGGTAGATAATCGAGGGCCGGAATAGTTGGTCGAGGAGAGTTAAAAGGCACTAGGATTAGTATACGTTGGTTATTTGAATTTGATTGAATTAGTTATATAGGACTCGGTATTAATCGATCGCTAGGATATATATAATTCTCCTACTCGGATCGTATAGCTAATTGCTCTTAAATAGGCTAAAGATTTCTAGGGAAACGTTAACCGTAGGATTTTATAGTGTTTCTAGTCGGAAGAATATATTTAGGCGCCTACGGTAGAGTCTTATTTACTAATAGCGGAGGTAATTCTGTCGCTATTAACTAATAATCGAGACGAACATTCTCGTTAAAGAGAACTTCCTTCGCTTGTTCAATAGTACTAGTAACAGGATCCTAGAGTCGATAAACGTAGTAACCTTCGAAACTTTACTTTAGGTATAAGCTTATATACCCTATATCCGACTCGTCGTATCTAATCTACCTCCGGTATATTACCGTAGAATGCCTCGTATAGACTCTTGAAGTTTTAGAGGGCAGTAGTAGGTATATAGTTACTAATAAAGACCGCTGCTTTAACGAGTTTAGGCTAGAGCTCATTTCGTAGGTAACTATCCTACTTTATATTGCGTATACTGTTCTAGAGCGTTTAATGCTTCCTTTTAGAGACTCTATTCTAATTAGGTTAATAGGGAGCTAAGATAATAAAGTCTAGGCCTGCCTCGTAAGAAGCGCGATAGATAATATCTATAAATTCGGTACCTCTATCGGCTCTTGCCTGCTTTAGTTTCTTATTAAACTACCGTTCTATTCGTCTTTCGAAATCTTTGTAGTATCTATAGACTTCTAAGGCCTCTTCTGTTTTTAGGGTATAGATCTAGTAGTATCTCGTATAATTATTAACGATTAGTAGGTAGTATCGTTTACCTACTTAGGAAACTAGCAATAGGCTATAAAGTTCTATATAAACTTTGTTAATTCGCTTAGTTTCTCGAATAGGTTCTAATCGTATATATCTTTACTGTATCTTGTTGTAATTATATAATTTGTAGCTGAATTCGTTGTTAATAAACGGGACGCCTTGTCTTTTAAGCAATTCCCGAAGAGGCTTTTAGCCGATATAACCTAATCTTTAGTGCTATACATAAAGAGGGAGTCGTTAAACTATACGTTGATTAAAGAAGGAGGCGACAAAGTCGACTTTACCTAGATAACTATTCTTCTCTCGATTTTTATTAAAACTATTAAACTAGTAAGAATAGTAGGATCGTCTAAGAGAGACGTCTAGCTTCTAGAGAGATCTATGTTAAATACCTATACAGATTATTTAATTTGTACTTCTATTAATAAAGTAGTAGGCTCTAGTAACTAAGCGGTATTCTGTATTATTACGGTTAAGATTAGCGACAGATAGAAGATTAATACTTATTTAAGGGATATAAATAACCTTCGTAAGAACTATATTAATTATACCATTAGGGCGTATTATAGTAAGAACAACCTTTCTAACTCCTACTACAAAGAAACCTCTTCTATAGCCGATCATTTTAATTAGGTTTGCGACTTCTATATACTTAGTAAATACACTTCTTTCGATATATATATATTCCTAAGTACCTAAGTTAATTACCTAGTTAAACCTCTAGAAAGTTAAGTCCTTAACGTCCGCCTTTTTTACCAAGGGTTAAGTATTATCCTTAATTGCCTTGTAAGTAGCAATTGATATAGATTAACTTATTAAAAGGAAGGTTATAAAGGCCTCTAGAGTAAAATCGCATAACTACGATTAATCCCTAAATTCGTCGGATAGTTATTAATAGTCGTTAAAGACGACTCTTCCGCTATAGAAGTTGCTGTCTATATTAATTTAGACCGTCGAACCTTAACTCGTTTGATTTAGATTAGAGTTATCGGCAGTACTAAAACTTACGGTACCCCTAATATAAGCTTATATCTATAGATAAACGGAGACTTAATTCGACCCTGTTCCTCCCGTCGTTCTAATATACTTTCGCGCTAGTATCTCGTTATACTTGTTAGTGTTCTATTTGTAGTATTTATAATTTATATAATTTAATTAATTATACCTAGGCTACTAATACTTTATATTAGGCTAACCGAGTAGCTTTCCAAACGGAGGTTAATTTGTTCTTTAATTAAAAGAGCGTTTCTAACCTTATTTAAAGTTAGCTACAAACGATCGATTTTCACTTAGAACGAGGGCTCTACTATTATCTCTATTAACTAAATCCTAGTAATTCTAAGCGGCACTTATCGAAGTTGTATAATTCCTATCTATCTCTTCTATAGCCTATAACCTTCGACCCTTAAGTAATATTAGTAACCTAGGCCTTAAATTGAGGTCTAAAGGCGATTAGGAAGAATAGACATTTAATATTATCGTTAAAAACGACATTGCTTCTAAGTCGATTGAATTCGTTAAAGCCGTTTGTTAAATTCGATTTAAAACTCTAGGAAAGATAACGTCTCGTTAAATATATATAACTATAACTTCTTAAGATAAGAGATCGTAAGGTCGGCACTAATACTTATGCACTCGTAGTCGATAATTTGAAGTGCTTCTAACACTCGTTTATAGTTAATAATTTTAGCATAAAGGTATAGTATAACCTTAGATCAAATATATCTAAGAAGTAACTCGTTCTTAGCTAACTACGTTACCTTTTCGAGTATATAGTCGTTCTATTCTTCGGTCGGCGTATTATCTAGTAGTTCTATAGGAGATATTTCTTCTCTATTAAAAGGTAAGAGAAATCTAACTTTTCGAGATACGGTAGAGAACTTTCTAACCTAATCGTTATAGTTAGTTACCCCCGTAAGGACCTTATAGTTATTAAAAGCCTTAGTATCCTTATATGTACCTAGATATTCGGAGATATAGTATCGCGAGTTCTCGTTTAGGCGGAGTACTAGTTCAGTAGTACTACGGCCTCCTCTACGAGATATATTAGCATCTTCGTTAAGAGTAATTTCTCTAATAGGAGCTAAGGCGAAGCGTCGAGTTAATTCGTTAACTATAGGTAAGGAGTCTCGAGTAGGTATAGAGACTTTGTCTTTAGTACTGCTTAATAAATCGCTTAAGTCCAAGGACGAGCTACTTTCTAAGTCTAATAAATTAGAGTTACTAGACGAATCTAGGGCCGAGTTCTCCTAGGCTAGAGGATTGTAATATATTAAGGCTTATGTAGAGGAGCTTTAATCGGTAGCGCAAATTTTTCAATAGGTATATAGAACTATTACCGCCTTATATCCGCTGTTTTATATCGTTAGTTTGACGGCTAATAGTATTGCCCTAGTCGTCGATATTAAAAAATATATATAGTTAATCGATTTTCTCTTTCTATAAATAGTAATTCAAGTATAGAGTAATTCAAGTATAGAGTAATTCAAGTATAGAGTAATTCAAGTATAGAGTAATTCAAGTATAGAGTAATTCAAGTATAGAGTAATTCAAGTATAGAGTAATTCAAGTATAGAGTAATTCAAGTATAGAGTAATTCAAGTATAGAGTAATTCAAGTATAGAGTAATTCAAGTATAGAGTAATTCAAGTATAGAGTAATTCAAGTATAGAGTAATATCGTAGAGCTCGAGGAGGATAATAATTGAGTTGTCGAATACGTAACTCGTAAGCGTCTTTCTTTTATTTCTACTTCTACCGGTAGGTTTACGCGTATTATAAGTATACCGTACTCTAGTACTTAATAATATAATTCTCGATATGTAAAAGATTGAATAAGTCAGGTATAGTAGGTTACGGAGACCGGAGAAGAAGGATAAGAGTTATTTGAAAGTAAGCATTAAACCTCTTTAGGGCATAAAAGGCGAGGGTAAACCTCGATTCCTATTTAGCGTCAAAATTAAAAAATCTTTAAGTACTATAAGCTGCAGACTCCTGTCGGTTATCTGTTCTTATATCTCTACGATATCGGTAATTATCAGAATTTTCTATTGTGTAGCGTTGTACTAATAACATATGTCTTGTCTTAACATTCGCGTAGGTGGAAGGACACTCTAGAGTATATGTATCCTACAATTATTGTAGTATTAAGTAGCGTATAAGTAGCGTAGTAAGGCATTAAGCACGATTGCCTTAATACTAGTCTCTAAACAAAGGTACGTACAATAGACTACTATACTATTTGTATACAAACTTGTTATTATACCTTTTTATATATTCGATAGCTTATCTGTAGTTGTTCCTATCGGCCGTTTAAACGAGGAAACCTACCTGCCTAGGTATAGTTCTCCGCTTATAACAGCTACTCGAAGCAACCTAGTAAGGCTAGGTATCTACTCTATATTTTGCCTCCCTATATTATCTACCTTATACTTCTTTT